TATTTAAAAATATTTAAATCACCTAGTCAGTATGCAAATACATGCTCACAGAGGTCAAATAACACAGAAGTTTTATTGTTTCCAAATGTAGACTATCCCTTTTCATTTACTGCCTCCCAATTTTTCTCTGAGAGTTTATCACAGCTAATTTTTTTTTTTTTTTGAGACAGAGCCTCAAGCTGTCTCCCTGGGTAGAGTGCTGTGGTATCATAGCTCACAGCAACCTCCAACACCTGGGCTGAAGTGAGTCTCCTGCCTCAGCCTCCCAAGTAGCTGGGATCACAGGCGCCCGCCACAACACTTGGCTATTTTTTTGGTTGCAGCTGCCATTGTTGTTTGGCGTGTCTGGGCTGGATTTGAACCCGCCACCTCAGGTGTATGTGGCTGGCGCCTTAGCCACTTGAGCCACAGGCGCAAGCCGAATAATATAGTTTTAAGGAGATAATGGACTAAAACTCTGGTTTGACATACTAGAAATCTCTTAGTGTTTGCTTCCTTTCAAAAACAGGGATAAGAATAGACTCTACTTTTTTAAAAGTTGCCATGTGGCTCGGTGCCTGTTAGCTCAAGCGGCAAAGGTGCCAGCCACATACACCAGAGCTGGCAGGTTCGAGTCCTCGAATCCAGCCAGGGCCTGCCAAACCATAATGACAACTACAACCAAAAAATAGCTGGGCGTTGTGGTGGGCTCCTGTGGTCCCAGCTACTTGGGAGGCTGAGGTAAGAGAAATTGCTTAAGCCTAGGAATTGGAGGTTGCTACAGGCTGCCAGGCCATGGCACTGTACCCAGGGTGACAGGTTGAGGCTCTGTCTCAAAAAAAAAAAAAAAAAAAAAAAGTTGCCACGTGAAATAAATAAATCTACATAAAGCACTCAGGACAATGTAAGCACTCAATAAAATGTCAATTATGACTATAAATAACACCACTGCTTACTGTGTCACGCACCATACTAAGTTCTTTACCCAGGTTCCCCCACGCTACACCCAACAAATCTAAACTGTTTATGTAATAAGAACCCCAGAGGAGGGTCGCGTCCATAGTTCAGCTACAGCCACATACACAGAGGCTGGAGGATTCAAATCCAGCTCAGGCCTGCTAAAACAACAATGACAACTGCAACAAAAAATAGCTGGGTGTGGTGGGGTAGGCACCTGTAGCACCAGCTACTTGGGAGGCTAAAGCTAAGAGAATCACTTAAGCCCAACAGTTTGAGGTTACTGTGAGCTGTGACACCATGGCAGTCTACCAAGGGTGACATAGTGAGACTCTGTCCCAAAATAAATAAATAAATAAATCAAATAATAATAAAATTACTTTATGTTACAAAGTGAGTTGATTTTAAAAGTATAGGAAGTTGGCCAGGCACATGGTGTGTACCTGTAATACCAGCACTTTGAGAGGCCAAGGCAAAATGACTACTTGAGGCCAGGCATTTGAGGCCAGCTTGGGCAACACAGCAAGACCCTATCTCTACAAAATAATTTATTTTTTTTTAAATTAGCCAGGCCTAGTGATACACAGGTATCTGAACCCAAGAGCTGGAGATTACAGTGAGCTATGATCACACCACTGCATTTCAGCCTAGGCAACAGAGCAAAATCCTTTCTCAGAAAAAAAAAATATATATATACATATATACAGAGGGTACTCCCAAAATACAAACTCATTTTAAGGAAAAAACTGCATTAAAATTATAATACTCAATATATACCAATAACATATATCTTGTATCTCTTGTAATTGTAAAAGTAAAATGCAACTTTAGAATTAGTTTTAATGCAGTCTTTTCCTTTCTTAAAATGTGTACACACGTTTTTAGCACCCTCTGTGTGTTTGTGTGTATACATGTAAAGTCAATATTGATACAAGAAAATCAAGAGGATGGTACATTAATTTAAAAAAAAAAAAAAAAATTATAGGAGGGGGAAAAAGCCAGGAGCTTGAAGAAAAAAGGTGTTATTAAAAGCAAGATGCCGGATGGGCACAGTGGCTCACACCTGTAATCCTAGCACTCTAGGTGGCTGAGGCAGACAGATTGCTTGAGCTCAGGAGTTCAAGACCAGCATGAGTAAGAGTGTGACACTGTCTCTACTAAACAAAAAAAAAAGAAAGAAAGAAAGAAAAACTAGTCAGGTATGGCATGCACGCCAATAGTCCCAGCTACTAGAGAGGCTATGGTAAGATCACTTGAGCCCAAGAATTTTAGGTTGCTATGAGCTATGATGCCATGGCATCCTACCGAGGGCAACAGAGTGAGACTCTGTCTCAAAAAATAAATAAAAACAAAAGCAAGTAGCCAAAAGAATGTTATGGAAACTTTGAGGAAATCATTTTTCTTTTATGGGCCTCTTTTGTGTAAAACAAAACACTGATCCCTTTCTGACTCTAGGATCCTGAGGTTTACACACAAATGACATTTCCTGTGTTGTATTCTGAACACTGCTTCTTCAGTGGGTAAAGAATGACAAAGAAGGTACAGCTCTTGGTGACTAATCACTTGGGTAGGGGGGAGGGTTCTTAAAAGTTTGTTGTAACAGAGTTCGGCATATAGTACATGTGTATCATAGTAAAATAAGAAAAAAAAAAGAGTACTGTGAATAGGAAGGTCTCAGATGCAAAAAATATCTCAATTAAAAGAGTATTGTATGGGAGTAGTCCCATTTCTAAGCATAATCATGACTTTTTTAAGACTAGAAAATATAACTTGAGGTTGCTTCTGACTTTGTGCTAAGAAATAGAATATTCAAACTAGGTACTCAACTGAAGGTAATGTTATTGATCTACCATTTTACCTAAAACAATGGTGACTCTTTAAACTAGGTCTCCAAACCCTAAACCAAGGACTGTGTGTGGCCTGTTAGGAAGAATTGGGCCCCACAGCAGGAAGTGAGGTTTCATCTGTACTTACAGATGTTCCCCATCACCTGCTCCACCACTTGCTCTACCTTCTGTCAAATCCCACTCCCACCCCCCATACCACCCTATTTGAGGAAAAATTGTCTTCCATGAAACTGGTCCCTAGTGCCAAAAAAAGTTGGGGACCACCTTTCTAAAATAAGCAAAAAGAAAAATGACAGGGGGTGGGTATAATGGCTCATGCCCATAATCTTAGTACTTTGGGAGGCTAAGGCAGGAGGATTCACTTGAGGCCAGGTATTTGAGACCAGCCTGAGCAAGAGAAAGACTTCATCTCTACAAAAAATAGAAAATTTAGCTGGGCATGGCAGCACAAGCATGTAGTCTCAACTACTTGGGAGGCTGAGGCAGGAGGAGTCAAGCTGAGGACTTTGAGTTTGCAAGCGAGCTATGATGAGACCACTGCACTCTATCCTAGGAGATGGAGCAAGACTTTGTCTAAAAAAATAAAAATAAAAATAAGCTTGGCACAGTGGTTATGGCACCAGCGCACATACACCAAGGGTGGAGGGTTTGAACCCCACCCGGGCCAGCTAAACAACTGCAACAAAAAATAACCAGGCATTGTTTTGGGCACCTGTAGTCACAGCTACTTGGGAGGCTGAGGCAAGAGAATCACTTAAGTCCAAAAGTTTGAGGTTGCTGTAAGCTGTGATGGCACAGCACTCTACCAAGGGTGACATAGTGAGACTCTGACTTAAAAAATAAGTAAATAAAAATAACTAAAAATAAAAATGATAGGAAAACGGAGAGTTGTTCTAGTGTTATTCTGGACATGAGTCAATCCAAATCAGGGGGTTGGTGGGGGGGATGGCATGTTCCCTATCTGCACAGAAATTTATCTAAAAACCACTTTCACACTTATGCAGGTGTTTTAACCCTATTACTTATTCTTTTTTTCGAGATAAAGTCTCAAGCTGTCACCTGGGTAGAATGCTATGGCGTCACAGTTCATAACAACCTCCAATTCTTGGGCTTAAGTGATTCTCTTGCCTCAGCCTCCCAAGTAGCTGGGACTACAAGTGCGTGCCACAACATCCAGCCCTTTTTTTCTTTTCTTTTTTTGGTTGTAGTTGACATCACTGTTGTTTGGCAGGCCTAGGCTAGATTTGAACCCGCCAGCTCCAGTGTATGTGACTAGCACCCTAGCCAGTCTTGAGCTACAGGTGCCAAGCCTCTATTACTTATTCTTTGACCACAGCATTGCTTCCTGATTGCTTATTTTCTCTAAATTTGTGGTTGTGAGCCTACCATCAAGCTGTAACCCACTGTTCTAATCTAGTTTCCAGTTGTTCTTTTATTATTATTACTTTTTATTAAATCATAACTTTGTACATTGATGCATTTATGGGGTTCAATGTACTGCTTTGATATACAATTTGAAATGCTTATATTGAACTAAGTAACACATCCATCACAATTATACTCATTTCTTAATAGATTTGAAATGTACCAATGCATCATTCACATTAGGTGAGGTGCTCCCAAATACCCTTCCTCCTCCTATATCCCCCCTCCACTCCCCCTCTACTTTTCCAATTGTTTTTTTTTTTTTTTGAGACAGAGCCTCAAGCTATCCCCCTCGGTAGAGTGCTGTGGCTTCACAGCTCACAGCAACCTCCAGCTCCTGGGCTCAAGTGAGTCTCCTGCCTCAGCCTCCCATGTAGCTGGGAACACAGGCGCCTGCCACAACACCCAGCCATTTTTTGGTTGCAGCCGTCATTGTTTGGCCTTAGCCACTTGAGCCACAGGCGCCGAGCCATCCAATTGTTCTTGATAAACTTCTTTTCTCCAGCTTATGTGACCCACTAACAGTTCCTAATAGATATTCCATGTTTTCCAACGTTAGCCTTATGTTCATGTTACTCCCACTGCCTGGGAAACGCTCTGCCAGTCCATTTCATTTGCACTTCTTCAAGTCCAGATTTATCATATAGTGAAGAGGCAAGATAACAAAATGTTAAGATCACAGACTCTGGAGCCAGAATACCTGAATTCTCATCCTTATTCCACACTGTATTAGCTGAGCGCTCTAGGATTATTGCATCACCTCTCTGTGCCTCAATTACCTCATTTGAAACAGGTGATAATTAAAGTAACCCATGTGAAGGTACTGTTGCCAAAAACAATACGCTAATAATATGGAAAGGACTGAGAGTAGCACCTGGCACATAGTTAAAGTGTCAGGTATTATAATAACCACAACTACTACCACAGATTGTTATGGTTCAGGTCATGCTACCTTCTCCACAAAGCACTACCTGAACCTTCTTTCTGGAAGAAATCTTTCTCTCCTCTGAACTCCTACAGTACTTTTAACTATCATCTCTCTTATAGAACACTTCTGTCCATTTTACACTATTCACACATATGTTGTTTCCCACACCAGACTTTAAGTTGCCTAAGAACAAAATCCACTTCTGATAAGTCTCTCTATCACCCTTCTAATATGATGGCCTGGTCACAGTATCTACTCAGACATTCCTGTGAATTGGTGGATATTAGGTAACGAGCAAGGACACTTCTACAGTATACAGAACCCTCAACTATTCTTACCACAACATCTTCCAAAATCTTAGTAGGGCAAGGTCTGGAATGAAATTCAAAGTGTTCATCATCTGATTTCTTCTTTGACTCTCGCTCTTGGATTCTTTTCTCAATTTCCAAATCAAAGCCGATAGGCTGAGTGGGTGGTTTCACGGGTGGTTTCTTGGGTAAGATGGGCCCACCTTTAAGAATTCTGGGATCAAGTTCACGTGCTTTGAATTTGTATCTGTAAAGTGAGAGTTTAAATAACAATCACAAAACAATTTAAATAAAATGATAACTACACAAAGTGGGCCAAAACCAAAAAATAATAATCATTATGTACAATAAAATTTCAATTTTCTCCATAGCCATTGTCTTCACCTAGAGAACAAAGAATAAATGAGACAGTTCTAACACTCTACTGCTTTAAAGGATGGAGCATCTCTTCACAGAGGAAGCTCCTTCTCCTTAAAAGAAACATAAAAATGAACTGAAGAATATAGTACTCTAATGCTAAGTTCCCATTTCCTCCACTGAGTAAAGCTATAATAATCCCTTGGGTAGGCATAAAAGAGTGGGATCTACCTAACCTAACCTCAGAGGGTATTCCTTAATTGGAATTTAAGGAAGTTCTACTACTCCAACCTCTGCATTAAATTTTTACCAGTTTACACTCCAGGATATCTCCATATTCTCACTCTAGTCTTTTAATCAGAGTCAGGGACACAGCCTACAGAGCCTATTCCTCAAACATCATAAAAATTTTCATGGAAAAAAAATATTAACTACTGCCCTTATAGAACTGAGAAGCAAGTGGGGACGTTTTTGGAACTCTTCCTTGGATGCTGCCAGTAGGACTTACTGTTGCAGTTTCTCAAGCTCCTCAGCCTCCTGATCTGCAGCACTTTTGTAGGTCACAGGCCTTGTGCGCTGTTTGGTTTGCAGTACAGGAGTCTGTGGGTCTCTGGAGATCTGGGCCACAGAAGATTTGGAAGGTAACAGACCTGTAAACCAAGATGACAGACATTTACCTAGCTCCCTAAGATCCAGTTTATTTGACAAGTGATGACTCAACTAGGAAGTGCAAAAATGAATAAATGAACCATGGAGTGGTGGGCCCTCCACACTTAGCTCAGTTCACATCTGTCAGTCCAACACACATTCAGTCCCTTCTTCCCCATCACTCTTTACTGAGTGGTATGACTATAAGTTGGTAGCCTTAGTAAACTCTGCTCTCATCTTCTGAACTTAAAATCCATCTATGGGTTCTAAAATCATTACACAGGATTGTCCTTTCTATTAACAATGCCAACTATTTCTCACAGCTTCTATGTATGCCTAAAAAAATTAAAACTCAGCCCCACTCCCCACATCCAAGGGTGGGGCCAGGCAAATACATAATAAATAAAAACGATGCCAACTATTTCCCCTGCTATTGACAAATAAGATTCTTGCTTATTTCAGCTTTAAGAGTAAAGCCTTTCAGGTAGCACCTATGGCTCAGTGAGAGGGGTGCTGGCCCCATATACTGAGGGTGGCGGGTTCAAACCCAGCCTCGGCCAAACTGCAACAAAAAAATAGCCAGGTGTTGTGGTGAGCGCCTGTAGTCCCAGCTACTTGGGAGGCAGAGGCAAGAGAATCACCTAAGCCCAAGAGTTGAAGGTTGCTGTGAGCCGTGACATCATAGCACTCTACTGAGGGTGATAAAGTGAGACTCTGTCCCCAAAAAAAAAGACTAAGGCCTTTCTAAAGTCCAAGTAATAATCCCCAATTTTATAAAAGCATTTATATCAAAAGCATCAAGACCATCTCCTTCAGAAAATTACACAGAGGCCAGGAGGCTCACACATGTAATCCTAGCACTTTGGGAGGCTAAGGCAGGAGGATCATGTCAGCCTAAGAATTTGAGACCAGCCTGAGCAAAATAGACCCCATTTCTAAAAAATAAAATTTTTTTTTTTTTTTTGAGACGGAGCCTCAAGCTATCCCCCTGGGTAGAGTGCCATGGCATCACAGCTCATAGCAACCTCCAACTCCTGGGCTCAAGCGAGTCTCCTGCCTCAGCCTCCCAAGTAGCTGGGACCACAGGCGCCCGCCACAATGCCTGGCCATTTTTTGGTTGCAGCCATCATTGTTGTTTGGCGGGCCCGGGCTGGGGATTCAAACCCGCCACCTTAGGTGTATGTGGCTGGCGCCTTAGCCGCTTGAGCCACAGGCGCTGAGCCAAAAATAAAATTTTTTTAATTAGCCAGGTGTAGTGGCATGTGCCTGAAGTCCCAAATACTTGAGAGGCTGAGACAGTAAGATCACTTGAGCCCAGGAGCTTCAGGTTACAGTGAGCTATGATGAAGCCACTGTACTCTAGGTAGGTAAAAGTGCAAGATACTATCTCAAAAAATAAAAAGAAAATCAAAAGAAAAAAAAGAAAAGAAAAGTAGAGAAAGTAAAAACACTATGTAAAAGCATTAACATTAAGATCATATCATTACCCATAGAAAATATTAATTTTATTGCCCAGGGGAACCTTTGAAATTTTCATAATATAAAATCAACTAAACCATTTTAGCTACTGGAACACAATCACAATACTAAGAAATGCTATAATCAAAGGAATTCATCTGGTTACTTAATATAATACTAAGCACTATGTAAAGGGTAGGAAAAATTTAGAGACCTTCACATAACCAGATTCTGCTTTATCTAGCCCTATACTCTCAAGAACTATGGTATACCATTTCTATTCCTCAGACTTCTTTATCATCCCTCTTATAGAAATTATTTTCATAAATATAGAAACCATGAGATTAGAATCCCCTTATCTATTTATCACCAAATCTGTAAATCCATCAGAATTTGCAACCATTACTCTCACTCTTCTATCCTCCTTTGAGAAAATAATCATTCTACCTGTGCCAAGTATCTCCATCCTACCTACCCACTCAAGGACTTAATCCAGTAGATATCTCCTCTCTCTCCTGTATTTTCAACTTCTGACAGGGAGTTCTCAGCATTCAGACATATTCTACCCCTTTCCCACCTCCTTTGACTCTTGCCTCTCCCTCCACATCCATAGCCCTTACCATAATTTGTAACAACCTATTTATTATACCTCTCACTCATTAGAAACTTGATGTTGGATAGTACCACGTCCATTTTGTTCACTTCTTTTTTTTTTCCTTTGAAGTTTTTGGCCAGGGGTAGGTTTGAACCCGCCACCTCCAGCACATGGGGCCAGTACCGTACTTTTTTGAGCCACAGGTGCCACTCCATTTTGTTCACTTCTATATCCCTTAAATGCCTGGTTAGTAGTAGCAAAAAGTTTGCTGAATTGATGAAGAAAAACACACAACTGTAATGAATAAAATGTCTTGATTTTCTATATAAATGAACTGTGACCGTTTGACAAATGGCAAAGACATCTTTAATGTGTAAAGATACCTTAGATTACCCTGATTCATTCCCTTTGGCCTATTACTGACCAGGAGGATCATGGTTAATAGATATATATGAACAGACAGCTGGGTGGTTTGAGAAATTCTGAAGTATATATGTATTGTCTGCATATACTCACATATCATATTTTAGTTAAAAAGCTAAAATTTCCACAAAGACAAATTTGTGCCTAAGATGCAGACAAAGGGAATTCTAGAGGAGGCTCTATCCAGCTATGATAAGGGTAGGAAACTTACTAATATCATCCTTCTTGCTTCTCAAATGATATCTGTTAGGGGTTTGTTTATGGAAGGCTTCAACCTGCTGCGCAAGGGGCACATATGTAGAAGCTGCTTCATCAAATGCTCTTTTCTTTCCCTGGGACAAGTTGAAAGGCTTAATAATCGTACATCCCTTAGTCACTCGGGCCTGTAAAGAGAAAAGATGTTCCCCAAATGAAAGATCAAAGAGCTAGGATCTGCCACAAGCCATTCATTCAGCACAAATAATCAAAAGAAAAAAGTCCTGTGTAAAGCCTAAATCATTACTCTGAAGTCCTTGAGCAAGGACTATAACTAGCCTATTCCTATCTTAAAAAAAAAAAAAAAAAAGGATCTATCTAGCACTTCACAAATTATCTGTTCCATAGTAGTAAATAGGCGATTCTTCCCCGAGCATGCCAATGTTTTGAAGAAATCCAGAGCAAGCTGTCTTAAAATTCAAAGGCAAAAACCTGCAAAGGCATCCCACCCTCACCACCATTAACAAAAAATTATTTAAGCTTCTGGGTCTATATCCAATCAGTTAGCTGCCTGAATCAGCAAAATCTCCCTATATATTTCCTCAAACTGAATGATGAAGAAGCCTACTGCCTGGATCACTAATTTTGATAAAACTGTGGTATCTAACTGGAAGCAAAACTCTCCAAGGACCCATACCTCAAAGGAAGAAGCACAACCTCAGAGTTTAAAATTGCAAAGGAGTGACTTTAAAAAATGATGATGATGGCTGAAAATGGTGGTTCACGCATATAATCCCAGCACTTGGGGGGCTGAGATTGCCTCAGGGTCGATTGCCTGAGCTCACAAGTTCAAAACTAGCCTGAGCAAGGGCGAGACTCTGTCTCTAAAAAATAGCCAGGAGTTGTGGTGGGCGCTTGTAGTCCCAATACTTGGGAGGCTGAGGCAAGAGGATCACTTAAACCCAAGAGTTTGAGGTTGCTGTGAGCTAAGATGGCACAGCACTCTACCAAGGGTGAGCAAATGAGACTTTGTCTCCAAAAAATAAAATAAAACAAAGATGATGCTGACTACAAATGCAAGAAGAGAGTAAATGCTAGAATTTCTACTCAGGATTGTTATTGCTTTTGTTGGTGCTCCAGTAACAAAACTGCTCAGGAGGGCCAGGCGCAGTGACTCATGCTTATAATCCTAGCACTCTGGAAGGCCAAGGTGGGCTTATGAGTTCAAAAACAGCCTGAGCAAGAGCCAGACCCCTGTCTCTAAAAATAGCCAGGCACTGGGGAGGGCACCTGTAATCCCAGCTACTAAGAAGGCTGAGGCAAGAGAATCACTTTAGCCCAAGAGTTTGAGGTTGCTGTGAGCTGTGACACCACAGCATTCTACTGAAGGCAACACAGTGAGACTCTGTCTCAAAACAAACAAAAACTGCTCAGGATTTGAGTGGTCTTTCCCACAAGCGCTGTACAGTCTCAATTCATTTCTCATAACAACTTGGTAAGATGGTTCCCAAAAAAATAGTGACTTGTCCAAGATCACATAGCTAACATGGGTAAAGTGGAGAATTAGATCTGTCTTAATTCAAAACACATGCTTCTCTCCATTATATTATTAAGCTACACTTGAAATCCCAACTGAATTAGTAAATTCAGTTTACTGAGTCCACAGGACTACTGATTTAGTTCATTAACTTACAGGAGATGAAGGATGCTTTCGAAGTTCAGAAGTAAAGTCCACTTCCTTATACTCCTCTTGGTTTATAGGATGTTGTTTAATGCGCTCATCTGTGTGGAAGTGGAAGTCAATTGATTTGGTTACCTGGCTCACTGATTTCTTCACAGGTTGCCCTGATGAGAAGAGTAAAACACACAGATAACATTAAGAATAAGGATCAGTAAATCCCCTTTTAATCCAGTCCTTTTGGTATTTCTATTATGATGTATCTAACTTTGTTCATTATCTACATGTAACCCAAAACTTGAAACAGTCCTCAAGGACACTAATATGTGTGTCATATTCACTGACTACTCTTAGGTTTGAGGCCCTTTAGTTAGATGTAAACAATAAAGAGGTAGCACAGGCAAGAAGAGTCTCATTTTCCATGTGTGGTCATAGCTCTGGAAGACTAGAGTAACTAGAGCACTTTTCATAGGAAAAGAGATGAAATGACCTTTACTTAATTCATCATTCCTAAGAGCAAAACCCTATAAGCTTCAATGGTGTTCTTTCTGCCGAGTAAAGAGGACCTTATAGCTATGACTCCTACAATATTTCTGTGCCAAAACAAAGCACAACTGTGACACTTCAGTTCCTTCAGCCATAATTTTCCTCCATGAAAAGTGGAGATGAAATTCGATTTGACAGTTTTCTTTTACTATCTTCAGGATAAAATGATAAAACAAAAAATTGCCCTGCCCAATTACTTTTTTTTTTTTTGAAAGACAGAGTCTCACTTTGTCACACTTAGTAGAGTGCCATGGCGTCACAGCTCACAGCAACCTCCAGCTCTTGGGCTTAGGCGACTCTCTTGCCTCAGCCTCCTGAGTAGCCGGGACTACAGGTGCCCACCATAATGCCCGACTATTTTGTTTTTGTTGTTGCAGTTGGCTAAGTCCGGGTTTAAATCTGCCACCTTCGGTATATGGGTCCCTACTCACTAAGCCACAGGCGTTGCCCTGCCCAATTATTTTATCTTCTTTTTTTTTTTTTTTTGACAGGGCCTCAAGCTGTCATCTTGGATAGACTGCCGTGGCATTATAGCTCACAGCAACCTCCAACTCCTGGGCTTAAGTGACTCTCTTGCCTCAGCCTCCCAAGTAGCTGGGATTATAGGCACCGGCCACAACACCGGCCACAACACCTGTCATTGTTGTTTGGCCAGCCCAGGCTGGATTTGAACCCAGCAGCTCTGGTGTATGTGGCTGGTGCCTTAGCCACTTGAGCTACAGGCGCTAAGCCAATTACTTTATCTTCTATCTCAATCCTAGTTTCTTCTTCTAAAACAAAGGAGAGGGATAGCATGCTCTAAGAAAGGGTCAAGGTATGTAAAAAGTTCTAGGGAATGGGCTCAGCACCCTTAGCACAGTGGTTACAGAGCTGGCCACATACACCAAGGCTGGCGGGTTCAAACCCAGCCCGGGCCAGCTAACTACAATGACAATTGCAGGGCAGCACCTATGGCTCAGTGAGTAGGGCACTGGCCCCATATACCAAGTGTGGGCGGGATTGAACCTGGCCCTGGCCAAACTGCAACAAAAAAATAGCCGGGCATTGTGGCGGATGCCTATAGTCCCAGTTACTCGGCTGAGACAAGAGAATCACCTAAACCCAAGAGCTAGAGTTTGCTGTGAGCTGTGATGCCACAATACTCTACTGAGGGCGACAGAGTGAGACTCTGTCTCTTTAAAAAAAAAATGACAACTGCAACAAAAAATAGCTGGGTGTTGTGGCAGGCGCCTGTGGTCCCAGCTACTGGGGAGGCTGAGTCAAGAGAATTGCCTAAGCCCAGGAGTTTGAGGTTGCTATGAGCTGTGACGCCAAAGTGAGACTGTAAAAAAAAAAAAAAGTTCTAGGGAATGATCATTGGGATATAGATTGAACCCATATACAGCCTTCTAAATAAACATATCTTTTTATGCTAACTACTATGAATGTCTTTATGTTTTGCTTTAGAGATCTCGAAAAAAAAAACAAAAACAATCCTACCAAGATTACAAGAAGCAACCCTCATAAAATGGATTCAACTAAAGGCAAGCTGACCTGCTCCTGCAAGAGCAAATTTCTTGAATTCTTCATTCTTTCTCCGCATCTCCATCACCGCCTGCTGCATCTTCATTCTCTTCTCCAAGTCTTGTTCCTCAGTACTTTTCAGAATCTTCTGCCTAAAAGGCAAAAACAGCAAAGGAGACAAGAAAAGAGAAGAGAAAGGGGCTCAGTGATTCAAAATTATCTAAAGGCATTATATAATGTTTTTAACATGTGATAAAATTAACATGAAAACCAAAAGAAAAATTATATAATTAACAGATACTAACTTAAGTGACACTATTAAAAAAAAAAATCAAGATTCATACCTTATATCAAAATATTAAAAAAAATTCAGAATAGCAGACTACAGAAGATATTACAAAAGATCCACAAATCTGACTACATAATGATTAGATTTTACCCCACAAGAAAAATAAAAATAAGAAAAAAACAACAGTAGAGGCCAGGTATGGTGGCTCATGTCTGTAATCTTAGCACTTTGGGAGGCCGAGGGAGAAGGATCACGTGAGGCCAGGAGTTTGAGACTAGCCTGGTTCATCATGAGACTCATCTCTACAGGAAATAAAAAAATTAGCCAGGCATAGTGGCAGTTGTCTGCTGTCCTAGCTACATGGAAGGCTGAGCTAGGAGGATTGCTTGAGCCCAGCAATTTGAGATTGATGATGACATAGCTCTCCACCTGGAACAACATAGACTCTGGCTCAAAAACACTCAACCAGGCTTGGCACCTGTAGCTAAGCAGCTAGGGTGCCAGCCACGTACACCAGAGCTGGCAAGTTCAAATCCAGCCCAGGCCCGCCAAACAACAATGACAACTACAACCAAAAAATAGCCAGGAGTTATGGTGGGCACCTGTAGTCCCAGCTACATGGGATGCTGAGACGAGAGAATCACTTAAGCCCAAAAGTTGGAGGTTGCTGTGAGCTGTGTTGCCATGGCACTCTACCCAGGGTGATAGCTTGAGACTGTCTCCACAAAACAAAAAAAAACTCAACCAAATAGAACAGTAGAATGGGAAATATATATGTCACAAATGTAACAAAGTGTTACTATACCTAAGTGTAATAGAGAAGAGATGTAGAAGTAAAGCCAACTAGAGATCAAATATCAATCCTGCCATTTCATTGTCTTCCTATATGATCTTAAGAAAACTTTTTAATATCTGTGCCTCAGCTATCTCCACTATAAAATGAAGAATAAAAATATTCATGCTCACAGAATATTCATGACTCAGATGTTTCCATGGTAAAGTTCAATATAGAGAAGCCATTATTAGTAATAAGAATCTCACTAAGGCCACTTACAAATAAAAAAGGAAACAGACAATGCACTGGAGGAAATATGGAGATGTTTATAATAATAATATAATCTTGTCAACAGATAAATAAAAATTAAAATAATTTGATGCTAGGAGTTGCGGGGAACAGGGAGATGATGAAATGATATAAAATCTCTGACAGAAGGAATAAGTTCTTTTGAGATCTATTTCATAGCCTGGTGAATATAGTTAATAATGGTGTACTGTACATTTCAAAATGGCTAAGAGAATAGAGTTCAAATGTTTTCACCACAAAAAATAAATATTTGAAGTGCCGGATATGTTAGTAAGCTTGATTTAATTATAGTTATAAATCATAACATTACTTTTGTAACCCATAAATGTATACAATTATAAAATTACCTATTTAGAATGAAATGTTTTAAATGTGTAATAATTTGATGACATCAATTATTATATCAATTAAATTTGAAGCATTTGCAAAAGTTAAAAAAAGAAGAGAATGTAATATTTTATATGTGAATAAAAGTATTCTTTCAAAGCCAATGGCACTGTAAATTAGCACTTTCATTTCAGAAATAAAATTGACAATAAATATCAATACTCCTAAAACCGGTCATATCCTTTGATCAAGGATTCTCTTTCTTTATTCTGAAGCTACACAAAGAAATAGTTCTGCCTGTAGTCATTCTCTAATTATATATTATGGTAAAAAATGAAAAACTACATTTTTTTTTTTTTTTTTTTGAGACAGAGCCTCAAGCTGTCCCCCTGGGTAGAGTGCCGTGACATTACAGCTCACAGCAACCTCCAACTCCTGGGCTCAAGCGAGTCTCCTGCCTCCGCCTCCCAAGTAGCTGGGACCACAGGCGCCCGCCACAACGCCTGGCCATTTTTTGGTTGCAGCCATCATTGTTGTTTGGCGGGTCCGGGCTGGGGATTCGAACCCGCCACCTTAGGTGTACGTGGCTGGCACCTTAGCCGGTTGAGCTATAGGCGCCGAGCCGAAAAACTACATTTTCAACAAGAAATAGTAACATAATCTGACAGAATATTAACAATCTATCAAAAAAGGATAATTGTCAAGATTCTGTAGCAAAACAGAAAGTAAATAAAATAGTCTCATGCTAAGTGAATGAGGCAGAACAAAGATTCATTGACCAATCATGAAAATATGCATGTTACTTAGGAAAAAGCCAGAAGGGAGCTTGGAAAAATGAACACTGTTCAATCTAGGTAGTAAAAACCTTTACTATCATTTTCCTTTTATATTTCTTTTAAAAATAGTATATTTTCCCCACTGTTTACGATTGAAGCACCCTCTAGGATACATACAATTCATCTTACCATAGTCAAAGCTTTAGTAGTTTCAAAGTTTACCAAACAGAATATAGATACACATTTGTAATTTTACTCTAATCATTCTTTTTCTTTTTTTTGAGACAGAGTCTCACTATGTGCCCTGGGTAGAGTACCATGGCATCACAGCTCACAGCAACCTCTGACTCTTGAGCTTAAGCAAATCTCTTGCCTCAGCCTCCCAAGTAGCTGGGACTACAGACAACTACCATAACACCTGGCAATATTTTTGTTACAGTTGTTATTGTTGTTTAGTTAGCCTGGGCTGGGTTCGAACCTGCCACCGTTGGTGTATGTGGTTAGCGCCATAACCACTGTGCTACAGGAGCCAAGCTCTAAATTCAGGAAAGAAACTTACCTTACAGGTCGTATAAAGGGCACAGTACGTCTACCCTTTTCTTTCTCTGGGGAAGACTCATTCTTTTCAGAAGTATCTTGACGAGCACTATCTCCTTCCTCTGGCTTCTTTTTCTTGTTAGAACTTGAGATCAAAGTACATAAAAATATACTCTCAATTCTGGCCTAAAGCATATTCTATACAACCCTCCTCCCCAGATCAACTATATGTGGCTTAAATTTTTTCATTCTTTAGGGTAGCAAGCATAACATACTTTAACCACAAGATTCTTCCAATAGTATATTAGATCATATAAACCAATGACTTCAATAAGCAAACTTTGAGAAAGCCAACAGAAGTCAAGGATAGAGTTATTTAGTGGTGGTTAAGGAGAATAAGGAAGGATTCTACCTGCTTACCATCAAATGAACAATAAACAGGCAACTTCTCAATCTAGTCTATCTCTTTCTTATTACTAGAGCTCCAATTTGAAGGGAAGCAGCAATGTGCCAAGCTACAAGTATTATACTTGCTTTGATAGCCTCTACTCCAACTAGGAGACCCAAGTGACGAGGGCTGGGCAGCTAGACATAATTTAAGGGTTTCTGGGAAAGATTTCATTTTCCTGATATGCATGTTGCTCCTATTGCCTTGTAAAATCCCCCTTCTTTTAAACATGGATGTGACTGACACCTAGATATAGCAGCTATCTTGTGATAATAAAGCAATAAGCAAAAGCAAAAAACTAAGAAACATAAAGTAGCCATCTTGAACATTAAGACAATAAAAAGGACTTGGCACCTGTAGCGCAAGCAGCTAAGGCACTAGCCACACACACCAGAGCTGGTGGGTTCAAATCCAGCCTGGGCCTACCAAATAGCAATGACAACTACAACCAAATATTGGCTGAGCATTGCAGTGGGCGCCTGTAGTCCCAGCTACTTAGGAGTAGCCCAGCTACTTGAGGCAAGAGAATCGCTTAAGCCCAAGAGTTGGAGGTTGCTGTGAGCTGTGATTCCACAGGACTCTACCCAGGGCAACAGCTTGAGGCTCTGTCTCAAAAAAATAAAAATAAATAAATAAATAAAACAATAAAAAGCTAAGAATTAGTAATTGGGAGGTGAGGGGGAGTGTGCTGGTGGATTCAAACACAGTCCAGGCCTGCTAAGTAACAATAAGAACAACAAAATAGCTGGGCATTGTGAGGGGGCGCCAGTAGCCCCAGCTACTGGGGAGGCTGAGGCAAGAGAATCACTTAAGCCCAAGAGATTGAGATTGCTGTGAGCTGTGACATCACAGCACTCTACTGAGGGTGACAAAGTGAGACTCTAAGAAAAAAAAATTAGTAATTAATCCCAAACAGCTACAGATTTCTTTGTTCCTTCTCCATTCCCACTGCTCCACTTTGACTAAGCTTTAAAAAAAAAACAAGCTACTGAATCAAAGCAAACTACTTTTAGAGTTTGTTGAAACAAGTAAGTCATTATTATTTAAACCATTCTAGTTGAATCGACTGTTCCTTGTAGGAAAATATATTCCTAACTGATAAAAATAAGACCAAACAGGATCATGTATTCAGTTTGTTGTTAACGACTAAAGCAAACAGGGGGGAAGTGTAAGCAACTAAGATTTAGCACCCTATAAGACACAAGTAACAATTCATCTCACCATAGTCACAGTTTTATGAGTTTCCTAAGCTCCAAGTGTACTAAATAGACTGCAAATGTACCCATTTGTGATTTTACTTTATTCACTCTAAAGTGCAAATTCAGAAAAGAAACTTACCTTACAGGTGGTATACAAGGCAGAGTATGTCTGCCCTCGGCAATAAGTTGTGGCTACTTACACTTTCATTTTTTTAGGGGGTGGAATTTCGTCCAAAACCACAGGAGTGGCACATCTCTTGGCTTTCATTTTCACATGGTCTGTTCCTTTCTGTTCCAAATCTCTCTGAGCAGAGAGTCTAATAGATCTTCTATGGTAGAAGAATTGACAAATTTTATCTATAATGAATACATCTACTACAAATATGCAAATGTTCCTTAGAAATGTGAAAGGATGTCAAACTACAAAGGGCAATAAAAAGTTAATGTTACATGTATTATTTCCACTCTAAAAATCTAACCTCTCTTCTCTTGCTGATATTTTTTGAAATCCAACCATGAAAGTTTGATATGTAAATACAATGACATTTACAAATTAGACTGTAACAAAGCTGATTAAAACTTAAAAACAACTTGCCAGAAATCACCTAGTACAACTTTCTCCTCTTATAGGTAAAAGTGAAAAAAGATGATGTAACTTGATTGTGTTAGTCACCTTGTTAGTAACTAGTCACAGCTAGTTACTATCAGACTTGAAATTAAAGAATCAGATCTTGCAAATTGACTAAGGCGTTTATTTTCTCCTTTTTCTTTTAGCTGCTCCCCATCCCCCTTTTTTGGTAAAATTTAACACATAACAAAAAGTATGCAAAAAAATAAATACTTAAATGATCACAAAGTAAAGACTTAACAAAATCACCACCTAGACCAAAATACAGAATACCGACAACCACTGTTATCTTGACTTTTACAGTAATGATTAACTTTTCCTTCTCTTTCTACCAAATAAACATGCATTACCTAAAAATGCTATGTTAGTTTTGAAGGGAAGCAATAAATATATGTTTATATAATATAATCAGACTACTGCAAGTATTCATTCCTATCTAGCTTATTTCATTTAACATTATGCTTCTGAGATTTAACCTCATCAATTCACATAGTGTTAATTCACTCATTTTTATTTTTATAGCTATATAACATTCATTTTAGGAATGGGCCACTATTTATTTCATCTACTGTGGATGGGTTAGCTCCTCACCTTACTTATCATACACAATATTGCTATGAAGATTTTCACATGTATCTTGATGCACGTGTGTAGACATTCCTACACATTCAGTCATAAGATTGCTGGGTCATAAGAAATTAACATGCTTTCCTCTGATTATCGGTAATATAAAGTACCTTTTCACATTTTCTTTTTATAGTTTAATATATATATTTTTAAATTTCAGATTAATATTATGGTACAGTTAGGTTATATTTGCATTAAGTAAGGTCCCTGTTGTAGTTGTGTCCCACACCTAGGAGGTATACCATATACCCTTACACTGTGCTCATCAGATGAAAGCACACTAATCCTCCTTTCTCCCCACCCCCAACTTCAACTGAATTGACTTTTTCTCTTGTGTGGACATGTATTAGTTTGTCAACCAGCTTAATATTAGTATTCAATACATCAGATACTTGCTTTTCCATTTTTGTGATACTTTACTAAGAAGAATGTGTTTCGGCTCAGCGCCTGTGGCTCAAGCGGCTAAGGCGCCAGCTACATACACCTAAGGTGGTGGGTTTGAATCCAGCCCAGGCCTGCCAAACAACAATAATGGCTGCAACCAAAAAAAAAAAAATAGCCGGGTGTTG